TCACCCCCGGATCATGCGTATAAAAGTTCACAGATTTTGTGTAAGATTTATATTTAGTTTATTATGTTAAAACAAAAATTGCCAATACAAGCAATTCAGATTTTGTGGCTTCTTGTTTCCAAATTCAGCTCAGGCCTTCTCTTAGTCAAGGCAGCTTTTAAAAACATATGGCATCTTTAATGGCATCTGCACACTAAGTTCCCTGAGAAGACTGCTTTCATCTAATCACTCTGCACCACCAGAGAAAGGGATACTGTGAATCCTCACGCCAAATGGATTATTCATGTTTACATGCATTCATCAAAAATCTAATGAGAACGGACCTGACCAAGGGATCAGTCAAACTTTATAGCTCCTCCAAGGAAGGGGGAGCCTGCAAACACAGGGATTTATGACAAACTGTGTAAAGAAATGACACAGGCCACCTGCACTGACCACACAGAACAAGGCAGATATAGCTGAACTGGCATGTCTGATCTCAGGCAATGATTAAAATCAGCTGAGGGTTTTCATATAGAATACTGCTAAGGTGACACACATTTAGCCAGATCAGAGTAAAGAATTTATGTCACTGTGCATTTTCTATAGTGTGCCTCATTGAACTTAACACTGCGTTTTCAAGTATCTGTATGTAAACATATTTCTAAGAGGAAGACAAAGCCTGGCAGCTTATTCATAGTAAGCATTCTGTGTATAAAATCTGCCAAGATTTAAAATCTTTTGATTTTCCTGATCGCACTAGAGATGGGGAAGTGGAGAAGCAGATTGATACCAAAAACACAGGAGCAAAACAACTAGCTACTATATTTACTTGATTATAAGACAAGGTGTTTTCTATAATTATCATCTGGAAAAAAAATCCTGGTCTTATATTTATACTAGCCAATTGCCTGTCAAGAATGATGGGGGGGTGGGGGGACCAGGCAGGGTTGAAGCCCTGTGCCCCACCCATCCGGGCCTGCTCCACCCTTCCCTCCTGCTGCCTGGGGTCTGGGCCCATTTCCTCCCTCCCTCCCTCCCTGCTGCAGCCAGGAGGGGATGGGAGGAGTCATCCCAGGCCCGATGGTGGGGAGAAGCCGGGCCACCATGGTGGGGTGGAAGCAGTAGGCTCAGGGCCAATGAGGGGGTGGGGGAGGAGTGGGCCCAGGCCTGAATGGGGGAGGAGGCCCGCATCTCCTCTCCCCCAGCTGTTGCTACGTTGGGCCAGACCCACTGCTCCCCCCCACTGCCATGGCGGGCCCGCTCCGCCCCTGCTTTGGTCCTGGGCTGAATCCTCCCCTTCCCCCCCCCACCGCCGCCACAGCACTCCCACTCCTTCCCTCCCTATGTCACCCCTGCTCCTCCTCCCACCACCGCTGGGTTGGCCCTGGAGGCAGCAATGATGGAAGGGGGAGGGGTGGGCTGAGGTCAGTGCCAGTGACCTCACCCCCTGAGGTATTCTGACCCCGCACTGCTGCCGCTGTCACCTCCAAGGAGCAAGGGCGGGGGGGTGAGGCCAGCTCTGGTGGCCTCGCCCCCACCCTCCACTTCATTGTTGCCACGTGCACGGAGCAGGGCAGGGGGGCCAGGCCAGCTGTGATGGCCTCACCCCCTGCTCCATCCTCTGTGTCCCCACCATCGTGGCGGCACGTTGCCACCTGTCTGAACACTTCTTTGCGCTCAGATTGGCTGTTCGTCAGCGTGACAGACAGACAGATTAAGGCTTTTGTAATATTAAAATACAAGGAAGCCTCATTAAATACATTGTCTATTATTAAACTGCTGCCAAAAGCAGCATATGCTCAGTAACAGAAACCAGCTATGAAGCTGATTAAATGCAGCAAACACTGAGCATGACTACAAAACACACAGCATATATTAGGCAAACTAACTTTTTTTTTTGCCAAAATATTAATTTCTATAAATGATATAAAGCTATGAGAACCTACCACAAGGATGAGTTAGTACAGCCCAACTCAACAAGTCATATGGCAATATCCATTGCATTTAGTCCTCCCTCAAAGCCAACTTTTTCAAGTCATGGTGAGCTACAACACTGAATATATTTCTACTTCCGCTTCACTCTAACAGCTGAGATGTGCCTTTCTTTCCAATTTCCCATGATTTCTGCATCTTCAACAGCCTTAAATATCTGGCAAACATTACCAAATGGGGCCCGAAACAGTTCAGCCAGGATTCCCTCTCTTACCACCTGCCCTCAGTCTGTCTCATATGATTAGCGTGACCCCACACTCCTAAACCCACTCCCCTCTTTTCGAAATGTGTTGGGTTTGTTTTTGCCTTGTTTTTAAAGGCAGTGCTGCTTATTTTTCTCGCAAGACTTGGCAACATTGCTCCAAGCCCCGCTCTCTGTGGGCGGCAGCAGCAGCAGGGTGTGGAAGGGGGTCTTGACTGGCCCAGGGCCCATGAGTTTGTTTGCCCAGGACCCACTAAAGGGTTAATCCAGGGAAGGCATGCAGGTCCCTAGCATGTCTACATACATACATGCTCCAGGCTAGAACAGACTGCTGTTTGGGGAGAGGTGATACAATATTCACTCATACGCGTGCACACACACATCATTGATAGGAAAGTAGTCACTTAATGGCTGCATGGAATTCTTATTGCTCCCTTCTGAGGTAGCTTTTAGTTCCACATAAATGACATTACAGTTTTATTGCAGTGAAAACAAGTTTCATGATACCAAGCTATACATCCTTATTGTTTAATGCATTTTGAATTGGCTTTTTATTTAGTGCTGTGAAATTGCATTTTAAAAAACACTTTACATTTTCGGCAACTGTCAGGCCACTAAATACCGAATTATGAATAATGTGCATAACCCCATTTAGCTGCAAGCTACAAAGGTACTAAATCAAAGTAGGTTGCATTACATTAAACATTTAATATTCTTTATGCCTGCTGGTTATTTCCATTTTATACAATTCACCCTCTTTAAAAAAAGAGAAAAAAACCCTCTTTGAACAATAAGCACATTTATACTTCTTTCAATGGGTAATGCTTCATGTTTTTAATAGGTCTAACATTTCTTTAGCATTAAAGGAGTTTGCCAGTCA